TACCTTCTTACAACTGCTTGCCATAATATTATTTTTGTTGTTCTCTACTAACCCAACCGCTGGACGTTGGTTACGCGTTCAGTTTTAAACTAAGCGCAATGTCGCCGCGCCGTGCGTATTTATCCCGTTCAAAGCAATCCAGATCGTTCTCGAACACTAACGCGCTGGTCCGGCTGGTCGGTTCTAGCTGATTCTAGCTTCATGGCGTCATCGGCAGATCGCTCACCGCAACGTTGCCGCTGTTTATGTTTAATATTATGACAATTAGATTTTTTTGTAGAATTTTCGGAAGCTTCTCTGATTTTTGCAGTTTGTATTTTTTAAATTAAAATCGTTGTGAGAGCTACCAGAATTGCCTCCGCGGGCTACCGGTAGCTCGCGATCGACAGGTTGGCGACCACTGGGTTGAGCTATATAATAAGCTTAGTAAGAACATTAAATCCTCAAATATCAATGTCTTTAAAAGGCGACTTAAGATTTTTATATTGCAAAAGGCATACCACTCTGTGGCTGAGTTTCTCCTTGGATCCTAATTTAATTGTACTTATTATTGAATGTACTCATTACCTTTTTTTATATATGTTTTGTTTTATATTGACTTTTTTATGTTTGTTTGACTTGCTGAATCAGCCAGTATTTCATAATGAGGTTTTTTTTCTAATTTTATTGTAAAGGAAAACTGATTTAATAAATGTTTGATTGATTGATTGTAATAGAGATTTATGAAATATGAATTAGTTAACATGGATTATGGAATGACGTACCCAAAATTTTAAATATTTCGAAAGTGAAGTTTCAGATTTTTCAGAAGTTGTTTTGGATAGGTATGTCATTAGAGTAAATATTGATGTTGGGCGAGTTTCTTACATATTTTATTTTTACCTTCAAATGAAAAATATACTAAGGAAAACTCTTGTTTTTGTAGAGCACTCAAGTACGATTTGTTTGATATTCTCCTGGCAAACTTACTGGAATGCACTCCACAGGAACTGACGTCCATTGAACAGGAAATCAAAGGTACTGATCAGTTCAAACATGTGATTAGCATAAAACTTAATATTCTCTATTGATCAATACAAGAGGTGAACCTTATACTCAAATAGATAATTATACAGAGAGTTGTAACTAACCAGAAGTAAAGTAGGCCTTTATTTGCCATGATCATTTGGCGGATTATTTGACTATACTGCATAGTTGAACTCAACTTCATTTCACTATTACACTGCCAATACAACCAGCGTGGTCCAAACAGCACTGGCTAGTATCTCAATCGCCACAAAAGAGATAACGAGGAAAGGAACTTCTGGCAAAAACAACAATCTGCACTGACAGCAGACAAGCCCTATTAGCCTTGAACAGACAACGTGTTACCTCAGGGCTGGTACTAGAGTGCCACCAAGATTTAGCCAAAGTCTCGGTAGATAATAACATTATCCTGAGATGGGTTAAAAGGCATGACAGGAATAAAGGTAATCGCATTGCCGACTCTTTAGCCAAAGAAGCGGCTGGACTAAGAATTTTAGGACCCAGTGGTCCTAATGACTTGGACAATTGCGGAACTAGTCAAATGTTACACCCATGCTCAATCCCTAATGAGATGGGATGGAATCGAACGATGTAATCTTGCCAGTATCACCCTGGGTGACCCTGGGAAACTGGCGCCGAAGAAATGTCTGGCGATGACCAGGAAAAATCTACGCTTAAGAGTTGGATTTCTGACTGGCCACTGCCAACTGAGAAAACACCTCCAGAATATGGGGCTAGTGGACACACCTCTGTGCAGGATGTGTGAACAGGAAGATGAGACTGTCAGGCATGTCCTATGCGAGTGCCCGGAGTTATCGTCAATAAGAGGGTGTGTTCGGCGAGTCTTGGCCTACACCTGACGATATAGAGGAGATGTCTCCCATTGACCTGTCCACCTTCCTGGAAAGGACAGGATGGACGATGACCTAGGAGGACAACTCCTCGGGAGGATGTACATGTGGCCTAAGTACTGTGGGCTTACACCCACCCTCCCTACTCTACAGATACAGATATAACACAAAAACTTCAACTGAAATTCAGATTAATACTAGCTCACTTCGTACTACACTTTCAACTAGACCAGCCCCATCTGCCTGTTGGTAGTGTTTATATATCCCAATGGAAGTCTTTGAGAGCCGATAGGAATATTCTCGAGGCGACGCGACACCTAAAATGATCGAGAAGCACAAGTCGAGTTGAGCGCGACCTTGGCCAACTCACAGTAGATTGACGAAGACCAGTGGCAGCCGGCGTTATTTTTTTAGGGGATAAATCACAACAATATGTAGTTAATTTAGGTTATCTGAACATTTTCACAAGGTGAGAAATATCTGATACAAATTCTGTGAAATGAATCAGTAGACAGTTGTCCTGAAAATATTGAAAAGACAATTGATTTAGATAAATTAGGAAACACTTGCTACATGAATAGAATTTTACAAGTGTTGTTCATGACGAAGACTTTCGAAAATGAGGTTTTAACGATGAACGAGAACGGGAATGTTTCCTACTTATTCACCAAACTCAAACAATTGTTCATGCAGTTGCCGTTTCGTAAGAATGTATTATCTTCCCCACCAACCGATTTCCTGGAGTCTTTGAAGTCCACTAGATACTCGTTAAAACAAAAAGAGGATTGCTTCGAATTCTTGGGGTTCTTGTTGAATACTCTTCGTTAGCAAAAAAATAGCAGAATCAATACTCCTGACCGCTCTGGATTGAATGATACCGTACAGTTTATCCGTCTTGTATGTGTAGATCTTTTGCTGAAAAAATTATCACTTGTTTACTTGGTAGTAAACGTTCAAGAGGTAGCAAAAACGTATTTGATTTACTGGAACTTCAACTAGCTTTTTCTTATGTGACTGATAACTAGTCCGTGCAAAGCGTATTGTTAAATCATCTGAAAATGGAACTTTTAACGGGTGATGATCAACTGTATTGCCAAACATGCGCCAAACGAACTGACTATTATAAAAAAAAACAAGTATATCTGAGGCACCAGTCAATCTAATAATAACACTAACGATCTTCAAACATGACTCAACCTCTGACGGAAGCACCAAACTCTTACGAAGGTTCGATATAGATGAACACTTCAATCTAGCAGACCACTATTATAATCTTCATGCAGTCATTGTTCACTGTGGTTCTGGCGTTGAATCTGGTCATTATTACGCATTGGTCAAAAACGAAACGGACTGGTTTAAGTTTGACGATAACCGTGTCACTTGTTCTGGCGGTATCTTGGGCTTATTGGAGCCTCTGGAGACATTTTGTTTTATGAAAGAGAGGACATTAGCAGATCAGATGATGTGCATCATTTATGCATTCCTACATTTACAATTTTTATACTTAAAAAAATGTTGGTGCATATCACCCCATTAAAAAAATATCTCAAAATGAAAAGGACAGTGAAACTTCAATTTTCTTTTCATTTTCAGCATTGGTCCTTCCTGATTCACTAAAAAATTTTGTTGTGGACAGTAACGCTTTGGAAATAAACACATTTTTGGGCAAGTAGAATACTTTAAGAGCCATTCGATTCGATTAAACAGTATATTCTTTGTAGGAGGTTTCTCTTCAGTTGTTTTTGCAGGTTGTCTTTCTAAAGATGGTGTAAAGAAACGAGTGGCTATCAAAAAACCTTTTCAAAACATATTTGAAAAGAGAATTATGAATGAAGCGAAAGTATTATCTGAATGTGATCATGAAAATATCGTTAAAATATTTGGTATAGTGAAGAAAAAGCCAATAATTGCTATCGAGATGATGAGTCTGGGAAATTTGGAAGAAGCAATACTGGTAAGGAATCATAGAAAAAACTTTACCTAGAAATATAGTCATAGATTGATTTCCAATGTTTCTTATGACATGTTTGGAATGTTTAAATATAATGAAGCAATCTGAAAAATGTCCATCAAAGACTTGCCACTTACTTACGAGTACATAAAAAAATATTAGTGTTCAGTTATTGATTTATGATGTTCTGCTACCTGTCATTTTTGAAATATCAAATAGGCTGATAGAATATTACATTGATTTTTTTCAAATGAAAGTAGTATATGTCGGTTAAAACTGATTCATTGAAAAAAATATAAAAGTTCAACACGTTGTAAAAACCCAAACCGGTTGCAACTGCTGTTATAGACGTCTTTTTATAATATACTGTTGAGCTCCGAGTTATTTATTGATGTTATAGTTTTTTTATTTGAAAAAAAGTTGCATCAAAATAAGTTAGCAACAAAAACATTAACATTTCATGAAATATATACTATTTATAACATTGAGGCTAGAAACTGGGTGACATTGAAAAATACTATACTATGTGGAATGTCCATTTCTACTAGGAACCCTATGACACTTCCAAAGTTACATTGTTCTACAAGAATTATCTTCAATTCTGAAACTGATGCTGAACTTTCATTGTGTCGCAAAACCGGGGCTGGAGAAAAGATTTATCGGGGTCGTCCTCTGTATCAGTGAAGGATACCTACCTCATCAGCCAGTAACTGTTTCATTATCTTTTTTGAGCTTTGTGCAACTAGTTTTAATATATCTTTCGTTTAAATACGATTAGATGAATAGAATAGAATTTATTCGTGCAATGCATTCATAAATAGTGGTCGCATACGTCAATGGGATAAATATATGAATCGATGAAGTTTGTAGCTGGTTTTATACGTTCTTCAATGTTTCATCAGATGGTGTCAGTGTTTCGGTAACAGTTCTCTTGTTTGAGCTGTTGGAGTTTGTAGAAACGGTTGCTTCGCTAGGTTGTGGAGTCGTTCCGTTTTGTTCCGATGGTATTTCTGGAAAGATTCATTATGATCTGGCGATGGAAGCGATGGTTCGTTTGAAGTTTTAGTTGTTTCTAGAGAAAGTTATCGTACCGGGGTGGCGGCACTTGAAACATGTAAGGTTGTTAAGTGACAGATATACTGTGTACGACGTATTATCTGGAATGTTGACATCTTCTGGTGCCTCTGAAACTCAGGATGTGTGTAAAAGAGGGATTTGACATGTTGACTCGCAGGAATGTTATTGGTGACAATATCTTCAGGCCTATTCGATGGAGAGTCTGGAGAGTAGGGAATGGTAGGGCTGATGATTTTCCAGGCCCCAATGATATGGAAGGATCCGGTAGTACAAGCCATGGACCAGGTCTACCAACTTCAAAAAACGATAGCGCCGGCTGTAGGTCATTGTCATATTTTGGTGAGCCCATCAATAATATCGCTCGTTTTTTAAAAACTGGAATGTTTTGACGTGGTTTACCGAACAAATAATAGTATGAGCACATTTGTTAAAAACAATAACGACAAAACTTCAGTGTCGGATAGATCAGGAGTATATAAGTTGACTTGTGGCTCTTGACCAAAACTTTATATTGGTCAAACGGGAAAACCTTTTTCCGAAAGAATTAAAGAGAATAGTAGTAGTTTCTTGAATGGAAAGACGAATTTCACGTTTGGAAACCACGTGGAATAGAGAAACGTGTGACGTAATCGATGCAGAGAAGGATGGAATGAGTATCGGAGAGATTCAAAGAGCATGGGCCCCCTTTTGGGACTCCACCTCACCCCTCAGGCTTTCTTAGGCCTTCACCCCTGAGCCCTCTTGTCGCGCACCAGTCACGTGGTCCTAGTGATCATCGGCAGCTGAGTGACATCAAATTAAAAAAACTTATCGATATGATATTTGAACGCAGGTCGTCGGCGTGGTAGACGTTGTCTTTAGCCTCGACACCAACGTAAGAAGTTGGTTATAATTGAGAATTATTGACATATATGTTGGTTGTTTTGTCGGCGGTTTTGTCGGCTGTTTTGTTGGCTGTCATCGACGATTCAGAGTGATGAATGAAAACAGAGGAGGTTGAACTGAGTAACGGAGAGATTCAAAAGGCGTGGTTGAATTATAAAACCAAAACATGTAGATGAAAATACTGGAAGCTCGAAAGTGATATATTAATAATAATGTGTGATGAATTAGAAAAAAAACATGGCGGTGGGCATTCAGTGGAGTATACAGGGTGTCACAAAATACATCATTTAAGATTGAACACTTTGTCTTGAATATCTAAATTATTCAACTGCTTTAGAACATTTTTCTTCTCATAAAATTGAATATCTTCACTTAATTGTTGAACACGCCTATCAAATTCTTCTACTTTACGTCTGTATTCTCTGAATGCCATTATATTACTAATTTTTGTTTACCAACGACGTATAGAACACCGTTGTCCTCCTAATCTCATATTGAATGTAACTGACTAATGGTGTACAATTATTTAAACACGACAACGAAAAAACGATCGAAACGTACGCAAAACAGCAAAACAACGTATTTTGAAATGTCATTGTCGAATACATCGCTCCCCCATTGGCACCACCTTTGAACGTTAACTCCACAACACCTAACTCCCCAACACTTTTGGATGCCATTTGGATGTAATTTTTTTCAATGATGTATTTTTTTCACATCTTGTACACATTGACGCTATGTTTTTTCTTAAATGATGTATTTTGAGACACCCTTTACACATCAAGGGACCGCACGTTGAAGTGTTCAACTGTAATTTTTTTAATGATGTATTTTTTTCCACACCTTGTACTTAGCCGACAAAACAACCGCCATAAATATCAACAATTCACAATTATATCCAACATTTTACATTGGTATCGAGGGTAAGGACAACGTCCACCACGCCTGCGTTCAAATCTCATATCAATAAGTTTGATTTGAAATTTCACTCAGCTGCCGATTATTACAAGGACCACGTGACTGGTGCGCGACAAGGGGACTCGGGGGTGAGGCCTGAGGGGTGAGGCAGAGTCCCAAGGGGAGCGTTCTTTCAATCTCTCTGATACTCATTCCATCCTTCTCTGCATCGATTACGTAACACGTTTCTCTCTTCCACTCACTAAAGTCTCTCTCTGAAACACTTACCAACGACGCGCGACCTTGGAATGCACCAGAATCGGTGTTGTTCATCTACTGTCATGACTATGACGTGTTACTTTCAGAAGAGAAAAGTGTGAAATGAATAGTTTCGAGAATTCGGGTAATTCACCGAATGACCAAATACAATTTATTACTGTTTTTTTAAATGTAAAAACTGGTAATTAACTGATACATGTTCATTTAAATGAGTTTTTACACTTTTTTTTCTTATATTAGTGCTGATTGGTTCATTCTCAAAGTCAGGTATACATTTTCAACATCAACTGGGTAGGTAAAAACACATAAACATTGAATATGTAGAATTCAGTTAGTAACGACACGCCTGAAGAAGCTATTTTATGGCGAAACACGTGTTGCGTTTTTGTAAAACTGTGAAATTATCAAAATAAAGTGTTTCTTGAATATATGCTGTGGGTGGTTTTGATTCAATATTGTTCATTCAACTGTGCTCAAGTTTGTCTGATTTGCTCTTTTAATTAAAATTAGTTTCAGAACCTGAGATTCTCTGACAAAAATCTCCTTAAAATTTGTTTGGATGTCGCTACCGGAATGGAATATTTGCATGGAAAACAATATTTACACAGAAATCTAACATATATGAAAGTTTACATCAATGCAAAGAAACAATGTAAAATTGGAAATTTTGGATCTTGCGTTTACGTAGGCGATTTTAATGGGCTGTATGAAGAAAAGGTAAATCTGAGTTACATAATTTGGGGGGAGGGAGAGGTAAAATGACGAACTTCAGAAACTTCATTTTATTTTTTAAACTGCTTCACTTTTGTGTTCCCTGAAGTTACTGGTCTCCTTCAACAGCTATTCAAATGGGTATTGAGCTGTTAATCTGGGCCTATTTTCATTTTCAAAATGTTTCATTTTCAATTTAGATGTTTAGAGCGAATTGGTCATGTTGTTAGATGACAGATACACGGCGGTTGAGATAACGAAGCAGTGTATATTGGGAAATTGAAAAAAATCCAACGCGAAATCAGGCTTGGATTGTAATTTGGGTTAAATCGAAATCAAGCTTATAGTTGAAGTTATTGTTTAGGAATAGAAACCAGAGTCGGATTCCAGAAGTGTCTTTGAACAATTGCTAGAATATCGTAACACTTAGACCTAGATCCTACAAACTGATGACAAAGATTGCTGGAATCTTGGATCGCATGGTTCTTAAAGCCCCCACCACCGTACATAAGTAAACAGAAGTAAATTCACCCCCGTCGGTATCTTTGATGTTTCGGGTCGAGATTTTATTTTTTGCTGGCATGTGGCGGGACAGGAGAGCTGTTGTGCACATCTGTACGAGGTTCGATCAAAAATATGTGACCATGATCTGCTACGAGCAATAAATGTATCATATGATTGTGAACTGTTTAGGAATTCATGAAAAATAAGACAAGGTGGTGAAATAAACGTATATTTTATATAGTAAGATTATACAATTTAGGTCAAAAACTTATGCTAATATATTTTGAAGGTTTTTCAGAATGATGAGTTTTTGATTTTTTATTTTTAACTTTTGTTTTCGAATTTCTATTGGCATATTTCAAAGTATAATAAATTCTTGCCCTTGTGAAAAGAGAAAATTAATAATCCAAAAGAAAATTATCACAAGGGTGAGAAATGTTGATTTTTGAAAACATTGTTTTGAGCTGGTTGCCTATGCAATCAGTGGCACATAAATTGTTGAAATGATTAAGAAATTCTGTCTCTAGATGAATGATACATTGTAAAAATGAATCTGGAGGCATATGTAAACTTCCAAACTGTTTGGCTACTTTATTACTATATGCCTTGAAATGACTATAGGTATACATTTGTTTCATTCAGTGTGGCAAAATTTGTACATACTTCACATGAATGTTTCTTTAAACATTTTCTCAAAAGATATCCACAAACATAGCCCAGGCTGTTGCCTTCTGAAGTGGCTAGAGTTCTATAATCATTTATCTCTACTCTCAAAGGTTTATAGGGATTTTTTGTAACTTCCTCAAGAATCTATTTATGTCTGCATCTGTAATACTAGATAGAATCTCACTAGTATCTTCTAGACAGTTAGTTCCTTCTGCCTGTGTGAAATACTGAAGAGTAAATGTGTTTTTGAAAGCTCTGGTAATTTGAATTTGTCAAGATGACTTTTGGTCGTTGAATATTCATCGAATTTCAAAAAGTCATCGAAAAAATAGTTTCAGCCACATTTCAGCAGATGTAAAATATTTTTTTTTCATCAAAAAAGAAATATGGCAGCTCTACAGTCACTTCGAGATCTTTTCTGGCAAGTTTATAAAAATTATAACCTATCCAATTTTTGACAATTGCCTAACAGCTTCAATCACAATACTTTTTATACCCAGTATTGATGTGGATGAATTGGTAAAAGAGTATGCAACAGGCTGTTTCCAGTGCGAAAGTATGCCTTTTGCCATGACTACCAAGGCATTTGCAGAATTTCATTTTTTGAGTCGTTTTTCTGAAATATTTTTTTTTAATTATTGGGTTGGTTGTTGTAAATCAAAACTTCAATATACAATACAGATTTCTTGGTTTTCGGTTGCCTAGTTTGCTAATTATGAAGTGTATCAATCGAATGAAATTCTAATGTTTTTTGTTATTGATGACATAATCTAAGAAAAGACATATTTGCTATTCATAGTAGATTATCTGGAACATATAAATGGAAAGTAGGCTCCGAAAAAGTTCATTTGAATATACATTTGATACCGGTTTTGCAAAGATTTCAGTGGAAGTAATTGTTTTCCTACAGATACTAATCAAAACTTGATGTGGTTCAACAATTATTTTTCTTTGTGGATTTCCAGTGGAACTGGAGGCATATACTATTCGTAAAGTTCGATGTCATCAAATCAAATTCATAAAAAAAGTCTGTATGTGCATTACTTCAATCTTACGTAATGAATAATAGAAAAACATATCTTTTCTCGTCAATTGGAAATCGAAAAAAATGAATGACGACATCACTCTGTAAATTACAGTAACACACAGCTTGACACTTGCTCATTTTGAAACTAGACACAAATTTTTCACAAATACAAAACCACCACTTACAACGACTCACTCTGTAATAATTACGGAACCTTTGAGATACCGGGCACCATCTCGTCGTAGCATCGCCTTGTCACGGAGATGGATGCCGAGTTTACGACTCCAACTGACCTCCCTGTAAATTTAGTTCAGGAGCGAGTTTACAGAGGAGATGGATGTCGAGTTTACGACTCCAACTGACCTCCCTGTAAATTCAGTTGGGGAGCGAGAGCTTCTCAATTCCCCAACTCCTGAACCAACAACTAAACCTTAAAAAAAAGGTTTGGCGGTACAGCCAAAAAACGACTGAGTCGTCTCCCCAAGTGCGGGGTACCTTATAAACCCGCCTTGCACCAAATTCTTGAGCGGCGTACGCAGATTCTGTCTCAAGTGGGGGAACAAACCCCCCCCATGAGCAGGTTAGCAAACCTTTGCGCTCAAGTGAGGATTCACCATAACCACAGGCGATAAAGCCCTGCACGGCTGAATCTAGCATCGTCAGGTGTAGCTGACGTGCAAAAACCCTCATATGGGAAGGTTGTCGTGGATATCAAGGTGGGATTCTTGCAACTTGGCTATCCGACTACCTCATTAACAGAGCATATACTTTGTGCCTGCCGCGCTGGGGACCGAATCAGGTCTTTACAGTTCGGCAGAGCTGTACTCTTACCATCTGACATGAAATACCACTCACCATACAAACCAATTGGCTTCGTTAAGAAGCTGGGTTTATTTGGCCGAGTGTGAATAGTGAGCCTCAATAAACCCTTGTGGGTTACGGTGGAGGGTCGAATAGACCCACTCACTTTGCACCTAACCTAACCTAACCCACACTACTGATATTCAAAATCTACTTCGTGACTAACGGCCTGCCTACCACATACGGGGGCCGACTTGAACGATCCCGTTCAAAGTCGTCGTGAAAAATCAGATCAAAACAGATAATTTGGAACGCCGGCAATCACGACGGTGTTCTGCCACACACCGACCGTATTACCCTAACAGTTTTGCACGTTGGGTAATCCTGTCGAAAAAGAGCTACGTCTGTGGGGACCTTTGAGATAGGATTATGACCAGGAGTTGCAATGCATTCAACTGATCAGATTATTAAATATTCCTATCGAGGACACGGATGATAAGTAGAAAATTTTTAGTAACTTTTTTGAATCTTCGCCTCTAATATTTTTTGATTATATTGAAACAACCACGTGAGCCGTGTTCATTGTTTTATTTGGGTGCCTCCTGTGTAAGTGCAAATGAGTTGATCTACAGTAACGAGTATTGAAAAGGGCGCACAATATTTCTGTAATTTGCTTTAGATGGCGTCCGAATGTCATCAGTTAATTTGAAGAACCCTTTTCAATACTTCCAATTGAATTCATATAAAAAACCGAAAAGTCAAACTGTGGTATTGCCCACCTGGTCATAATTGGATATTTTTTTACCCGCTCTCTCAATAATTTTTTTTTACATTTTAAGGGATTGAATGAGAAGAAAAACTGCGCTATTTGTATATCTCCTGACACATGCATCTCCAATATATTTAGGTACCAAACAGATGTCTGGGCAATGGGAATACTTATTTTGGCCGTTTATGTCGCTTCTACTGGTAACGCTCCAGGTCTCTATATTTTGAAATATTATGAAAGATTTTATGACGATCCAGCAATGTGAGTATAACCTGTTAAAGTCTGTTCGATAAAAGGATGATAAATCATCTCAACTCGTTAGTGAAAGTTGTTTAGGTTTTCAACTGATTTTTCCAGGAGTCGTTTTTAATTTTTCGATTTCGTTTTGATAACTTTGCAACTTTTATATAATTTAAATAAAAAAAATAATTAGCGCTATTAAAAAAAATCAATATCGAAGCATACAAATCTCGCAAGTTATCTATATTTTTGGAGGTTTATTGTACCTAGTTCATTTATTTTGGACGATTTCCAATTATAATATACAGTGCTTTTCTTTAATGACCCCCCATTATTTTTTGAACAGGTCGACTTGAACATTTGAAGTTGGGGATAATGAAATTAATGCATGAATACTTTATTTTGAAGTGAAATTGACAAATGAAACTTTCAAGATGGCGACTGGGCGCCATCTGGTAGAAATATTAAATGGAAAGGGGGGTCTTGTTACACATCTCTTTGAAGCTCCTGACAAATGCTTCACAACCCTAGAATATAATGTCAATATCTTCAACTACCACAAAAGACAGAACTTTTAATAACTGCCTGAATACATTGACATTTAACTACATAATATGAGGTAATAAGCTTGAGGTCAGTTCAGAAGATGCTCGAAATGGTTGCCTTGAACTTCTTGACATATGAACAGCCTATCCGATATTTCACGCCGAACATTTTCGAACACAGTAACTTCAATATTTCCTCAAATATTTATTATTCTCTGCAGTATATCCAATATTGAAGCAGGTTCAGTTTCGTACACCTTTTGCTTCAAATAGCTTAATTAAAAAAGTTCAAAGTTATCAAATCTGGTGAGCGGGCTGGCCAGTCTGTAAGACCTCGACGGCCAATCCAACGACCGGAAAAAGTGGTATCCAAATAGTTTTTTACTTGTCTGGAGTAATGTGGTGGTGCTCCATCTTGTTGGAATACAATATCCATATCGAATTCATTAGGATTCGCTTCGACGATTTCAGTGATGAGAGGGTCAACAGTAGTTTCCAGCATATTCAAATACAGTTCCCCTGTTGAATTTTGATCAATAAATATGATTTCCCAATATTCCTGGCCAAACGTTAAATTTTTTTTGGATATTGGGTATGTGTTTCCCGGAAAACGTGAGGGTTGGTGCCATTCCAATAACGGCAATTTTGTCTGTGAACATTGCCGTTTAGAAAAATGTACATTCGTCACTAAAACAAATATTGTGGAGATAGGTAGGATGCCTTGCAATGGTTTCCGTCATGATTTCGCAGTATTCTGTTCTTCGATCAGGGTCATCTTCAGTTAATTGGTGTACAATTTTAATTTTGTATGGATGATACCTATTCCTCTTCAAAAGGCTTCACACAGTAGGAGACACCTCACAAACATTCGCGACGAAATAAGTATACTGTTCAGGATTTACTACCATCTCAATTACTTTACTCTCAATTACAATTACTACCAATTATTTGCTCTTGCTGTTCTTCCGGAATGGATGGATGATCTGGGGGCTTTTTGTAATGGACACTACCGGTAGTTGTGAACTTGAATACAAGTTCTTTCAAATATTTTCTACATATAGGTAGGTAGGTAGGTAGGTCTAAAGTGAGTGGGTCTATTCGACCCTCCACCGCAACCCACAAGGGTTTATTGTGACTCACACCTATTCACACTTGGCCAAATAAACCCAGGTCCTTAACGAAGCCGATTAGTTTGTATGGTGAGTGCTCTTTCAGGTCAGATGGTGAGAGTATGGATCTGCCGAACTCAAAGAACCTGATTCGGTCCCCAGCGGGGCAGGCACAAAGTATATGCTCTGCTGTTTCATCATTTTCCAGACAGAGGCGACACACACTGTCTTCCGACAGTCGAAGTCTCTACATATGATGATTCAAATGACAGTGTCCTGTCAGAAGGCCTGTTAGACATCGTAGTTCATCCCTACTGTAGTCCAACAACTGTTTGGAATCAAGCTTCGAAGGGTGAATAAACGCCTTGGAGTGGCCCAAAGCGATACCAATGACAGGTTCTGGTCAAATGAAGCCGCTTGCAGCACCCTCCTTTGCAAGGGAGTCAGCAGCTTCATTGCCTTCCAGGCCACTATGTATGGCCAGGAATCCATACCAGAGACAATCTGTTGAGTCTTCCTATCGAGGAGAGTCGTTTTTGACAGTTTGCTACCAATTTAGACGTTGCTCGGTAGGAGTCAAGAGCTTCAAATGCCGCTTGACTGTCGGAGAATATTTTTATTGACTTGTGAGTGAGGTTGGATTTATTCAATTTCTCCGCACCCGAATCAATAGCGTAAATTTCCGCTTGAAATACAGTCGCTTGAGTTCCTAGGCAGGTAAATGACTCTGTCCTGGGTCTGCGACTGAAAACACCTGCACCAGAACCGGAAAGTGTTTTTTATCCATCTGTGAACCAACAACTATCTGCTCTTAATATTTCCTTCTCCCGGAGGATCCAGTCCTCTCTACTCGGGAATAGTACTTTATGAGGCAGTTCGTAGTTGACAGTTGGAGGCATAACGTCGGAGGTCATTTCTAGAATGCTGTGACTTTCAATGTCAACCAACAGTCTGTTGCACGCTGCATTGAATTGATTTGTGCAATTTGCAATGTGCAAAAGTCTGTATGCACTCCATCTAGCCTCTCTTTCCAGAAAAATGTGGAGAATAGGTAGATCTAGAAGGATCTCCATGGCCGCTGACGGTGTGGTACTGATGGCACCACTGATAGCCAGACAAGCCTGTCTCTGTGAGCCAGAGAGCTTCGCTTGGGCCGTTGGTCTGACATCCATCACATAAATCCAAAGGATTTGTTTGGGACCTAAACCCCAAGTTTCACCACAAATCTTTCGACATGTCATTAGAGACAGTCTGACTTTGTGTAAGTGAGCGTTCCAGGTGAGTCTTTTCAAGGACAATGCCAAGATATTTCACCTCCGTTCCAAATAGCCCATTCAACTGCCGGTACTGTGATTACCTTTTTTGCGACGTCCCAGTCGTTCTTTTTTGGGCGTTTAGCGCCCGCGAAGATGGGCGGTCTGTTGTTATCAAGAGTCAGATTTCCAGGAAAGTGGTTTTCTATCAAAAGCTCTAACGTTTCTTTATTAGAGGTCGTAAATGTTCCATCGGGTCGTTTAAGCGACCCAATTTCAGCAGTCGGCTCTCTAGAGAGAATCTTGTGAATTCTTGTGCTGCGAGGTAAATCAGAGATACTCTTACGGAACTTCCTCTAAGACTCCCGCTTTGTCTTTCTAATTTCCTTGTTGTATGTCGTTAAAGTGGTTTTATAAAGCTCCCAGTTACCTGACTCTTTAACTCGATTGAATAGTCGTCGAACTTCTTTTCTTTTACTTTCCAGGCTTTTGTTCTACCAAGAAGAGTTGCGGTTATCTCTTTTGACCTCAGTGGACAGTTCTCATGATAGGATGAGATCACTGCTTCGCGAAATTGCATCGCTACTGTATCCATATCATTACAACTGTGAATAGTACTGAATCCGTCCTCAAAGTACGATTGGAGGGAGTTTTTATACCCCCTCCAATCAGTAGATTTTGAGTCACGGTATTCCACTACTGGTCTTAGACCTGTTTCAATATTGAAAATATTATATCTATGGTCTGAAGGTTCAGTAGATACAGACCAATGGTGTATCTTGTTGATCAGAGAATGCGAGCTGATAGTTAAGTCTAATACCTCTTGCCTATTACTAGTGACAAAAGTTGGATCCGAGGCCTCATTAATTACAGATAGCTCTTCCCCTAGTATATAATCAAAAAGTAACTCACCCCTACGATTTATATTCGTGCTGCCCCACGCTGTATGGTGTGAATTGGCGTCACATCCCATTACTATTTGTAGTTTGTTCCTTTTGCTATAGTCGATTAGTCATCTAGTAGGCGGAACAGGTGATGAAATTCTTCTTACCCTTCTTGCCTGATAGGGAAATTTGGATGGCTACCACGTGTTGGGTGCAGAAGCTTGTGAGCAAAAAATGGTTAATACCTTTCCTGATGACCAGACATGCTCTGGGTTTCACCCCAGGGCACGCTATTACCTCACCAGGAATATTGCTCAGTCCGGTTACTCGGCCTGTATTTCCTGTCCATGGCTCCTGCAGGAAGGCAAGGTCGATTAATTCATCCTTGAAGTTTTTTCCAAGGACGTTTTAGGCGGCCTTGACATGTAGTGAGTGTGCCTGCAAACACTTGAATTTAACAAGTATTGCTACACACTTAGAACTCCTCGACTCGAGGAGGGAGAAGATGGGGGTTCTTAAGGACACTTCCACCCTCCTCTCCCGGAATCGAGAGATGTGTAGGCTCAGATTATGAGGTGAGGACACCTGCCGTCTCTGAGTTGCCTGCTGGTTTTTTGGCTCCCTTTTACGAGACAATTTTCTTCTTCGCTTTCAGAGAGCCACGTCCAGCCTTTTTCCCTGGTTTTCTCGACGAGACGTTGGCCGTCTTCTTCTCCTGAGAAACACCTATTTTCCCGACCTTGGGCTGGGTGTGAGTCGGTGGTTTACCCCTATGTTTGGGTGGAGGTTTGGTTGAACGCCTCCCCATAGGTGGATTTCCGCTCGGCCCCGCTTTATTTACTCTAACGGGCACACTAGAGTGACTCGTTTGATTAGTTTCCTGCTGGGAGGGGGCCCAAGTTCTGGGGAGGAATAAGACCTAAAACCAAAATGTGACCATGGATCCATTGTCTGCAGCGAAGGTCCATGTTTAACTAGGGCCTGAATTTTCCTTGTGGAGAATCGTCCACTCCAAGGTTGACAGACAATGGTTCATTTTCCTCAATTTAGTGAGGTCCTGTGTGGAGGTCAGTCTATGACTGCCTCCATCAGGTAGGTGAGCAACACAGATGTGTAGCTTATTCGGGAGTGGGTCCCCTGTGACGCATTTCAGGGAAGCGCTCTCCCACGGTTGCAGGGTATTAACTACACCCGCAATTCATTCTGCGCTAACCTGATCCTCACTGTAACCATCCAGGCCGAAAGGCGTAGGCTCAGTGTCAGTCATCCTCTCGGCACGGATACACACACCTTAGGATTAAGCCATCGTTGGGATGCCATTCAGTTAGGGAATAACAGAACCACAAGTGATTCTGTTATTCCCGTATCCAGCGGGGCTACGTCGAAGCAGGCATTCAATGGCCGGTTTGCTAAACCCCCACACCCCAAGCCAATGCACTTGCCAAAAACAGCATGCACAGTGGTTCAGGCAGTGAAAGATGAACGAGGACAGCCAATCCGCCATATATCTTTGAGACTCACATTCAAGAAAGATATTAATGAGTTTACACCGAATATGAATACGTGTTGTGCATTTAAGCAGAGTTAATAACGTCTGACATATGAATTTGCTGTTTTTTAAAGGCTTCAACTAACTTGATAAGTTACCTAGGAATTTTAACTCTGACATTTCTTTCATCTTTCTGAAAACAAATAAAATGATTTAACTGAAAGAGGTATCTTCTTAGGAGTGATTACTTCTGAAAAAAAAAGGTTTTGTCGTTCTACTTTCCCATCTTCATACAGAAAAAATGAATGATCTCTCCTAAAAATATACCCTTTTTGAATTAAACAAGATTCCTGTGGCTGGGATTGAATCAAATAACCGAATGAATGCATTACATACTGGCTAAGGCGTTTGAATCAGTGAAATAGTAAATTATATAACATTGGACATTAGAGGGTTCCTTCTTGAATGGATAAAATCGTTTATGGAGGATAGGAAAACAGTCCATTTAGGCTTCTCGTTAAGAAAGACAGTGAAACTTAATAACATCCATCTTTCGGAAACACCCTAACTCCATGGTATGTTAATAGATAAAACCTTATCTTGGGAGTCCCATATCCATCATGTCTGCAGAATAATTATTAAAACAATGTTTGCAATACGACAGATCAAAGAAGTGCTTAGTTTAGATGGTGACAAAAGTCCATCAGTACTTTTCTGATCAATCCCATATTGATTTCAATTTAAGTGCCACCGGTAGACAGCTGTTTCAGCCTACTAGGCATCGTCAGTACCGGGTAGGCGGTCCTCGATTGAAGACAAAATGTGAATAACCAAGAAATGTGATAAAAATAACTGCGTAAACGCAAGCGAGACCTAAGTGGAACCACCTATTGGTGTGACACCCAAGTAAACTTGCCAAGTTGCTCAAATCACCAACACTGCTTATTCACATTTTACCTTCAATCGAGGACCGACTACCCGGTAGTGATGATGCCCAATAGGCTGCCCGGTGGCTCATAAATTGAAGTCAGTATGGGAATAGTACTTATCTATTTATCTTTTGATTTTAATGGAATTATTTTCCGGCAGCTTCACTACATTAACCTTTTCCGATTTCATATCATTTCTAAAAACATGTGGATTCGTTAACCGACGGCATTCCAGGATAGCTGTTTTTGAGTGTCCGATCTATGTTTATATATATGGACCGTCATTATTGTTCAAATATTTTTTATTTATGACATGTCTGATGTCATGTAAATGATCAAAAATAGGAATAAAGTTATTATTATTATTACTGTCATCGATGACATTAGTGGATTCAGCTCATTCCTGACATAAAGTCGCGATTATATGAGTGAATTGAGTGTTTCATCTTATAGTATTATTCAGATTGGTGCTGAAAAAGCAATAAGACAAACGTCTCATTACGAAACAAACAAACAAGTGAAAAGTTACGTCTTTCATTTATTATATTGTGTAGCAATCCCGTGAATACTATCTAATACAATTTCAAAACGAATGTTTGGAGTACAAACTGAATGGGTAGGAGTGTTTTTTGTATAATCCATTTTTTCATTTAGAAAGAAAAAATACTTTCTAAAAAACTACTATATCAACGTTGGATTCAGTTGGTACTCCAAACATTCGTTATGAAATTGAATCAGATATCATTAACAGGATTCCTACACAATATAGTATACGGACATCGGTGGACATCGATGTTTCTGAATAAGACACTTGCCTTAGTGCCTTCTCAGCACCAATCAGGATAACATTGCGAGATAAAGCACCCAATTCATTCACAAAATTACGAATTTACGTCACGAATGACTTAAATCTACCTTCTAATATCATTGATTACAGTACGTAATGACATTCATTCGCTTATTTGATTAAATACCAGACATAGGAATCTTGTTTGACTTGAAAGGGTTATATTTTCAGAAGAGATTAATTTTTGGGAAAGATATAAATTATCTCCATGATTTTAATTTGTTTCCTATTCAAATGAATACAAAATCAATATAACTATTGAATATAAGGCTTTTATTAGGGCATTAATTTGAGCTCAACATTAGGATGAGTAGATTGCTTATTATTCTTTATGTCTGATATTTTAAATCCAGTTTTATTTTATTTCAGATTGAAGCCCGAACGATGTCCTGATGAATTATTTTCTTTTGTAATGAATCATCTACTGGACAGGAAATATGAAAACCGCCCTAGTTTCTAAATTCAGTTTTGTATAATTTTTAGCGACAGTTTATACATTTTATTTTTTATATTAGCGAGAGTCCTTAAATATGCATTTCATGTATTCGTTTTTTTTGCCATATTGTATATTCTCAATAATAAGTAAGTTTTCTTTTTCATGTTTGATTTATTTCTTATCTATAATTAGAGGAATCAAAAGGCTGAGACAGTCAAACATGTCTCGTGATAGTGTCTAGAAGAGATACCCTATTCGATATTTAAAGCCATCAAGTTTAATCATTCCAGACGAAAAAGAAAGGTTTTCTTGTAGAGAATATTTTATAATAAATATCTGACTTATTAAGACAAACCAAATTTTATTCTCGGTTATCATATCATGCAATACTTCTATATACGTTTTTATTTGTCCCAACTTCCTGAAATTTTGTCCTAATAGTCCAGTCATTTAAGCTTAATTTAGGTAAGTAAATACTTGTATATTGACACCCTAAAAGATGTCTCAAAACCTACATATGGTAGGGTGTACGCAACTATTAAATTTCAAGGTCAAAGTTCACAAATATCGGTTTTTTGCACTTTTTTTGTAAATATCTCATTTCCTATGGGTTTTTTGCTATTTGTATTTGTTATCAATATTGTAGAATACAAAATTCTCTACAAATTTTGTTCAAAAAAGTTTTTCATACGGTGAACCGTTTTCGAGATAGAGGGCGGAGAGCGCGCGGTCACAGGATCACTTCAGGTCAACCGGTGCCTCCGGTCGAAAACGAGTGGATCCATTATTACTCTTCCAAAGAATTACTGTCAGCAAACAATTTGAAAGTGATCTTGAAGAATATCTTCAACATGAATTGAGTCCGTATCCAACAGCTCTATTTGATAATGATGGCATGAGAGAAACAACAAAATCGTCATTGTGTGACAACATGAGCCCAGTTGATTTTGTTCTCAATGAAAATAATGTGACGTTCATTATTGATGGCGGATTTCTTCTTCATCATGTTGTATGGAGCAGAGAAGATACTTTTTCTATTATTTTTGATAAATGCATGAATTATTTACAAAGGCATTACATTTCCAAAATAATTGTTGTATTTGACGGATATTCAGACTACAGTAAGCTATGGAGCAGCAGAGAAGAACTGCTGGACTTTCAAAAACGTATGAAGTCTGTTTCGATGAAACAATGGTTGTACCAGTTACTCAACAAAAATTCTTATCAAATCGAAATAACAAAGATATTCTCATTAATATGTTAATTGAAAAATTACAAGCTGCAAATCTTACTACTAAACAAGCCAAAGATGATGCGGATGTTCTTATTGTTGAGAATCAAAGTCTGAAAAAACTGCAGTTATGATAGGACAAGATATTGATTTACTTTACATTTTGATTGGGCGTACACTGTCTTACGAACAAGAAATTTCCTTTAAAAAAGTTGGGAAAGGAAATGTAAAAACGGAGATATACTCGACTAAAAGTTTTGATAATTATCGTCATTCCAAAACACATATTTTATTTCTGCACGCATTAAGTGGCTGTGACACAACTTCTGCGCTTGCAATGCTCTTTAGCTTGTGGTCAATGTAATGGGCAAGCTTGTCTCAATGCTCTACCATATCAGAGCGACATTAACGAAGATGGAACCTTTGACCCCGAAATCATGGAAGAACTTGAGACAAATGTCGTTGAAGACGATAATGAAGACCAGTTTGAAATTTACCAGCAGCCAGAAGACGACGATGAAGAGGAAGAA